AGATCAAACCATCTCCCCCTTGTTCATGACTCCAGTCTCCTCATCGCCACGCTGCATCTATCGGTGCCTCCCTCCAAACCAGACTGATGCTGCTAAAGCCCAGAGCTGACTGTGCCGGCCCCTGCTGAGAAACTTTTAATGGCTCTTTCTTTCCCTCCAGAGAAAGTCCAATTCCTTTATCCTGGCATCCAAGGCCCCGCAGGATCTGTCAGTCTGGTCAGCCTCCTGTCTCTACCCCCTTCCTCACAGCATAGGCTCAGGTAAAGCTGAATTACTTCCCAGGCAAGTCCCCAGGCAGGTGAAGTCACTTCGCCCCTCTGTGGTTTTGTTCCCACAGCTCTCCGGCCTGTAATGTCCTTCCTCCACCCCATACACATGTCTGCTTATTGTTCATAAAGTGCTAGCATCCTCTCCTCCAGGAAGTCTTTGCTGACCACCCAGAGAGAAGTGGCCACTTCCTACTCCAATCCCTGGGCAGATCCTGTCTCAGCACCTGTGACATGTTGGTGATCTGGTGGGTTTGCTCAGCTATGAGGCTAACATTGCTCTCAAAACGACTGAATAGAGAGAGAGCAGGTAGGAAGGGAGGGGAGAGAAAGAAACCAGAAGCAAGAATTTGTCTAAAAGGGAGGAATAATAAATGACTTTATGTCAGTAATCTGATAGTTTGAATGAAATCGACAAATTCTTTGAAAGACATAAACTATCAAAACTCATTCAAGAAAAAGTAGAAAAAGGATTCACAGACATGACAACAGTATGTTGATTGCAGGGGAGAAGGAAGTATAAGGGGGATAAGCAGTAACGGAAGAAAATACAATAAATTAAATGGAGGGGGTAAAACTAAAAAAATTAAAAAATAAAGTTATGATAGTATTGGAAAAATAGATCCTTTAAATCCCCCTGTTAAAGACATAAAAATCAGCCTTGGCCAGGTTGCTCAATTGGTTACGGCATTGTCTGGATACACCAAGGTTGAAGGTTCAATCCCCTACTGGGACACATACAAGAAGCAACCAATGAATGGATAAACAAGTGGAACAATGTTTCTCTCCTTCTCCCCACCCTCTTTTTCTGAGATCAGTAAAAAAGAAAGAGAGAGAGAAAGAAAGAAAAGAAAGAGAAAGGAAGGAAGGAAGGAAGGAAGGAAGGAAAGAAGGGAGGGAGGGAGGGGGAGAGAGAGAGAGAGAAAGAGAGAAAGAAAGAAAGAAAGAAAGAGAGAGAGAGAGAGAAAGAAAGAAAGAAAGAAAGAAAGAAAGAAAGAAAGAAAGAAAGAAAGAAAGAAAGAGAAAGAAAGGAAGGAAGAAAGAAAGAAAGAAAGAAAGGAAGAAAGAAAGGAAGAAAGCAAGCAAGCTTTATAAAAAATCAACCAATGGGCCCTGGCTGGGTGGCGCACTTGGTTATAGTGTTGCCCCCATATGCCAAGGTTGCAGATTCCATCCTCAGCCAGGGTACATGCAAGAAGCAACCAAGAAATGCATAAATAAGTGGAACAACAAATCAATGTTTCTCTCTTTCTAAAATCAATAAAAATTGCCCTGGCCAGGTAGTTTAGTTGGTTAGAGCATCACCCAGATGCACCAGTGTTGCCAATTAGATCACTGGTTAGGGCACATACAAGATTCAACCAATGAATGCACAGATACGTGTAACAAAAGGTTGATGTTTTTCTCTCTCTCTCTCACCTTCTCCCTCCCCACCGTTCCTCTCTGTCTCTCTAAACTCAATTAAAAAATGTTTTTTAATAAAAATAAATAAATAAAGGTGGCTGGCTTCCTTGGAGAATGCTACTAAACACTTAAGGAGGAAATACTACCAATTCTATGTAAATACAATGAAACAGGAAGCGAGTTACTAACATTTCTGGAGTGCCTACTATGTGCCAAATCCTATCCTGGGCAAGAGAGAGGTCCAGCCTCAGCTGGAGACCTGGGGCAGGGTTTACCAAGAAAAGTTCTTGCCCTTTGAAAAGTCTCAGAGAGCATAAGCATTAGCAACCCCCAGTCCTGGGATGGTACACGTTACTTCTCTTCCCTGCTATATGCATGGTAGACCTTGCTAATCAACTCCAGTTCCTTTCCGCTGAGTCCAGACAAGAGCTCCCAATCTTACTAAATGTGGAACTACCAGTTCCACCACAGAAGCTGAAACTCAAAAGGAAAGCTATTGGTCATCTCTGTTCCAGTTTAACCCCAGCTGATATGGAAACTGAGGCCGAGAGAAGGCAAGGGTCTTTCCCATGGCCAGAGATTTGCCAGAGAGCAGACAGATTTTTAGAAACTGATTTTTAAATAGTTGTGTAGAGGAGTCAGTGTTTGTGTTTTATCTCTCCCACTATGTGATGAGTTACTTCAGGAGAGGACCTGGGTCTAGGTTAGCTTCTGACTCTTGTTCTGCACACCAGATACACAGTAGGTGTCCACAAATGTTTCTTGACTTAGAGAGAAAGAAATGGAATGAATGAGTTAGATGGAAGCTCTGGGTATTAGCTCCTAAACCAGGAGATGCTTCAAGTGTCTAACACTCAGATAAGCTACCTTCTCAGAATGATCCACACTGAGAACCTAGAGATATTTTCAACCTAAAGATGAGGAGCTGAGGGTCTAAGGGGAACCTCAGTGTGTATTAGAAGTGTGTCTACAGTAAAAATTTTGCACCCCAGCTGGTGTGGCTCAGTGGATTGAGTGTCAGCCTGTGAACCAAAGGGTCGCCAGTTTGATTACCAGTCAGGGTACATGCCTGGCTTGTAGGCCAGGTCCCCAGTAGAGGGCGCGTGAGAGGCAACCACACATTGATGCTTCTCTCCCTCTTTCTCCCTCTTTCTCCCTCCCTTCCCTCCTCTCTAAAAATAAATAAAATCTTTTTTTAATGTTACCATTTATAGATTAAACTTTCAAATAACAGGAACTAAAAGAGTTTTTCAAGTCAACCAATATATGACATTTTGATGAATTTCAATTGTTTCAAACTGCATTATTGGCTATAAATATCAAAGTAACGAGGCATCAGGGAGGAAAAGTCTCTTACATCCATATCATTTATGTGTGGTTTTGTTATTGAACGTTGCTGTTAAAATATGATTGATGTACTTAAGCTTTTAGGGACCATTACTGCAGAGTTGGCTTTTTAAAAATATACACTGTATATTTTAAAAGTGCACCAGTATGTCTTGCCTGGTGTGGCTCAGTAGATTGAGTGCTGGCCTGTAAACCAAAATGTCGCCAGTTGATTCCCAGTCGGGGCACATGCCTGAGTTGTGGGCCAGGTCCCCAGTTGGGGGCGTGCAAGAGGCAACCATATATTAATGCTTCTCTCCCTCCCTTTCTCCCTTCCTTGCCCTCTCTAAAAATAAATAAATAAATAAAATCTTTAAAATAAATAAAAATAAGAAAGTTCACCAGTAAAATATAAACAAATAAAAGTGCACCAGTAAATAATTGTTATTATAAATAAAAAGTACACCAGTAGCATTTAAATAGATACATCTAACGTAAAAATAAAACAAAACTGAGAGAGAACTGAGACCAGGGCCACAAGATCACCCAGAGACCCAGAGGCTATTTGCTTCTGTGGCCTCTTAAGCAACCCTCATGGAGAAACAAAGGTAACCTGTCAGTATCGGCCTGGGGCTCAGCCCAGCATGGCATTCGCCATCACCCCCACCACCTCCCTGTGCCTGTTCTGGGCCATGAGCCAGACACATTCCTCTGGCCCCCACAACTTCCGGAACTGGCAGCGTGGAGTTTGAAGAAAGGGCTGAGCAAAGCAGAAACCTCTGAGACAGACCGCAAAAGGCATCTAGATATGCAACACCCACAGCAAGAGGTCTGTAACAACCAGTGAGGAAACTGAGGCCCAGAGAAGGCAAAGGTCTCATCCAAGACCACACAGTGAGGGGATAGTAGAGGGAAATCTCCAAGGTTCCCACACACACAAAAAATAAACAAAAATAAACCTCCTCTCTTATCCTTGATATTATGCTACATAAAGGCCAAGTCCTCTCCTAAATGAGGATGGGTCTCAGGGTTTTAGGACCCCTGAGTACCAGAAGAACCTGGACTTAAGAGCTCTTTTGGTTCCTCGGGAAAGAATCTTAGTGGTCCCATCATCTCTAGTCCTTTCCTCTCTCTTCCCTCAAGTCACTCACTCACCACAAAGGTAGAGAGTAGACAGAGGAAATGAAACCCAGGTCTGGCTGGCTCTGGGCTGACCCTCCCACCCCCACCCCTTGCTATCTCAAGGTAGGTCCCCAAGTTCTGTTTCTGTTTTCAACTTTGCTCACCTCTCAGGCCCCACTGCTTGAGGCCTGAGCAGTGGGGAACAACTAAAACACCCTAGGTTCCCCAGTGCTTACCCTCCAGTACCACCTCTTTGCCTGTCTTCTTCAGAACCTGCACCGCCTCATCATGGGTGGCAGAGGAAAGGTCTTCCCCATTCACGGACAGGATAGCATCCCCCACAAAGAGGGCCTCTGTCTGGTCAGCTGCCAGGCCCTTGAAGATCTTGGAAATGAGAATAGGCATCTTGTTCTCCCGGCCTCCTGCACAGGCATAGAAAGAGGATAAAACTGAAGTAGATACTCCAACACTTGGAAGTCATGTCAGGGCAAAATTATTTCTGAAGGCCTCTTGAGGTGCCCAAGCCAGTCTGGGAAAGTGTAGATGGGAGGGTAAAGAGAATTTCAGCAAAGAATCTTAGAAGTTTGAAGAATTTTAAAAAATTAAAAAGGAATCTTAGAAGTTTAAGACATTAATAGTACTTATAAGTCATTTTCTTTTTGAAGGTTAAAAAAACCTTTTATTTATAAAGACTGAAATAACTATATGCAAATTTGAATGGCTAGATTATACAAGAAATTGCTTGAAAATTCCTTTTTTGATCTCTTCCAAGAGTTGGGGTCCATTATACATGCTTTGTTCTTTCTTTAGACCTAAAAAAAAATATGCGATCTTTCAACAGGTGATTTATTCTTCCCTTCCCCATGTATAGAAATCCTTATGATCCCTCAGACAGTTCCATCTGGAACAAACTTTCCTCTTCTCCCCAGCCAGCCCCAGGGGGTTCATCTTCACAGGTTCTGCAACTAGGGCAGGATTAACACATGTGAATGTCTCCTCACTGGGAAGAAGTCATTTTCTAAATTCTTAATATTATAATTTGGTCACTGGATCTTTTGGTCCAATGCTTTGGGTGTTCACCAGTGTTTGACTAACTTATAAGATGCTTCAGTAATTTTTCTTGAATATTTTGCATTTTAAGCAATTTTCCCACAGTGAGGGAAACCCATTGATATTCCATAATTTGGCATTATGATAAAACTAGCTATTGCCATGGTTTCAAGTTTCACAATTCAGGATCCAGGCTGGAAGCCAAGGTCTTAAAGTCTAGAGATTTCAAAGGCCTATCTGAATCGCATCTCTGATGCAAAAAAAAAACAACAACAAAAAGCTAATGCATTTTACTGAATTGCTTTATTGCCAAACTCTTGAATATCCATCTAAAATAAGAAATAATAGTTCAAGCCCTAGCTGGTGTAGCTCAGTGGATTGAGCACGGGCCCGCGAACCACACAATCGTGGTTTGATTCCCAGTCAGGGCACATGCCTGGGTTGCAGGCCAGTTCCCAGCAGGGGACTCATGAGAGGCAACCACACACTGATGTTTCTCTTCTTCTCCCCTTCCCTTCCCCTCTAAAAATAAATAAATAAAATCTTTAAAAAAAAAAAGTTCACATTAGTGCCATGTACCAAGTGCCAAACTGTGCTAAATGCTGTCAATGGCGTTTCATTGCGTCTTCACAACACCCCAATCACATACACTCGCTCAGTTTCCTATCAGAAAAATTGAAGGGTGTAGAGAAACCCCTTGCCCAAGGTCATCCAGCTAGTAAGTGGCAAAGCCAGTATGTATTTGAACCTAGGTCTCCCAGCTTCAGAACCAATACTGTTGACCCTATGGCAGACTGAAAGTAGGACCCTCGGATATCACACTGTGGTCCATCTCCAAAATACTGAAGATGGGGAACTGGTGGCCCAGGGAGGGTGGTCATTATTCCAAGGTTACAAAACAAATCAGTGGCAGATGCAGGACTGGAAGTCTCTCCGGACCCCCACGCAGGCCCAACAGTTTGCTTATTGTACTGCAGAGTTTGAGGCCTAGGAAAGGAAGGGGTTTCTATTTATATCTGCCCTGCTCTGCCTGAAACTGGGGACTTCAGTTCAATGTGAAACTATGATTATTCCTGGCTGCCTAGGCTGGACCCTAGAGAGGTCATCACGGCAACAGCAGCCCAATCTACATATACAAGGACTTGAATGAACCTGGTACTTCCCCTGATGCCTCCTAAAAGTAACTTCACCCCCACCTGGAAGTATGGCACTAGGGTGTAGCTTTATGTGACCTTGGAAAGTCTCTGCTCCTTTCTAAATTTATTTGTCTATGGGCAAAATGGAACCCTGTATTAACTGTAAGTTCCTTAGACAACATTTAGTGTGCATTATCTGGATTGATCTGTTGCCCTATTCTATGCTGGAGTTTTGGAGTAAGGCTGGTACCCACTCCCTGGATTCCCCATTTTCTCCTTTATACCCTTGAGGTTGGCTACATGGGGATTTGCCCTTCTACAGGAAAGATCAACTCCACAGGGCACTATCTATCAGCCTGATAATTAAGATTCAAATCCCAGCTTTGCCACTCATCGACTGTGTGATCCTGGGAAAATTGTTTCTTTTCTGAGTCTCAGTTTCTGCACCTGCAAAGCAATGATTGTGCTCCCTACTTTTTACTACTTGTTGCCAGGATGAAGTGGATTATGAGCCCAGAGTACTGACCACAGCACTTAGCACACACCACCATACCCACCCCCTCACCCAGGCCACAAGGTCTGGAAACACAGGAACAAAGCCGGCACCAGGACGATGGAACCGTGCACATCCAGAATGACACAAAGGCTGACACCCTTTTCCAAGGCAGACAGCACACTGCTGGGAGCTGAGCCCATGAGAAGTAACTGGGGCAGGAACTGTGAACCCAACAGCTGGGGTGTGCCGGGATTTTAAGCACTACATCTAGCTGCTTTGGAAATCACTCCTGGACATCATTTTCCCTCTTACCCAACAGCAATAATTAACCAGGGACCTACTATGTGCTGGCAGGGTGAGTGCTTTAGACTCCTTTTCTCATAGAAACATCACAACTCTATCATAAGCCTCATTATATAGTTGAGGAAACTGAGGTCCAAAGATGAGAAGTGACTTGAGTTCACACAATTGATCCTCAAATACAGACTAGTTGCACCCTGAAAAAGCTGTATTGGCAGCTGAGAGCTCACAGAGACAAATAACAATTATGTTCACCCCTCTCAATTCTGTTCAAAGTGGAGATGGTCAGATGGAGAAACTCAAACCCAGTTCTCTGCCTAGGTACACAGCATTCCTGGGTCCTCAGATTTCTATGTCCTTCCTAGCCCCCTGTCTGTAAGCCCAGCCGGTGCCTCATTACCATGCACCCCTTTACTTTGAACTCAGGCCTTACCCCTAGCCCTCACCTTGTTTGTTTCTCTCGGACTTCCCCCTCCTTGCCCTAGTGACCTCCCAGGCCTCAATCCCTTTTCTCCATCCTTTGCTCTTCTGGGGGCCCCTCTTGTCCTTCATATCCATACAACCCCTGAGAGATAACCTCTCTCAGATCTATGCTTCCATAAGGAACTCCCTCCCACGTGTCCTTGGTGCGTCCCCAACCCCCTCCACACCTCTTGCTTTTCCACTGAGATCTCGGACTCTCCAAACTCTCCGACCTTGGTGCTCCGGATGCCCTCGGTTGCCTCTGTCCCCTCAAACCCCTTACCCCCAGACAGAAGTCCTCCAACTCCATGTCCTTGGTACGCTGCCAGCCCCTGAGACCCATGCGCCCTTGGTGCCCCTCGCCCACCTTTGATGCTGATGCCCAGCCCGCCAGTGTCGGCCTTGCGCACAGTCACCCGGCGCCGCTGGAGCAGCAGCGCCTCAGGCAGCTGCGGGGGCGCCGCGCCCGGCTCCGCGGCGCCGTTGAGCTGCGCGGGCTCCGGCTCCCGCTGGGCGCCGGGCTCCAGGCCGGCCTCGCCGTCGGCGGAGCTCACGGTCAGCGTGTCCTCCGCCAGACTAAGCAGAACCCTCTGCCACCGCTCGCTGCCGGCCCCCGCACCCGCCCCGGTGCGCAGTTCCAGCAGCCCGGTACGCGGGGCGCGCCTGCCTGACGCCATCTTCGCCTAGGAGCCCCCGGGCCGCCGCTTTCGCCCTGCCCTGCAGTGCCCGGCCCGGTCCAACGAAACGCCCCGGACAGAGGGCACCGGGGGCCCGGCTGGGCCCGCAGCCAACCTACCCCGGCCGCCGGGGGTGGAGCCTCTGGGGGCGGGGCTATCTGGGGTGTGGCTAAGGGTGAGGGGCGTGGCCGCGGGCAAGCTAACTGCAGGGTGGGGTGAGCCGAGGATGCCAAGGATGTGAAGTGTGGGACATTTGGGGGGACTGGGATCACAAGGGCGTTAGGGCGAGGCCACGAAGTAAGGAGCGGAGCCGGTGAGATGCGGGAGCTCGGCGGGGCCATAAAGAGGACGGAACTTGGTGTCGGGGTCGCAGCCCTAGGATCCTGGGGAGGAGAATCCGCTGGACTTGGCCGTCGGGGTCTGGGTCCGTAGCTCAAGCACATAGGAGCACAAGAAAAAGACACCTGAATCCTGAGGCAAGGCTTTGGGCTTCAGGGCAGGGCTATGTATGGTAGAGCCCTCGACCCCGGGGACACGTCTTGAGTTTCAGTGGTAGACCCAGAGCGGCGAGAAAGGTTGCAGCTGACTTCCCACGGTGGGGCCAGAGCTCTGGTCTGTGGGCGTGGTTTAGTATGGGCGTGGCTTTAATGCTTACAGGCCACGCCTACTGGGATGAGAGTGAGTTCTGTTTAGGGTTCTGGTAGGAGGTCAATACAGTCCCCACTTCCAAGGGAGTTTAGCAGATTAACTCCCTGATGTGTTCACGGTCGAATACAGAAAGAACCCGAAGTCCTACACTAAGAGACCTGTCTGGAAAACCCCAAACTACTCCCGGTGTGAGAGGAGAGGACTGGAAGGTGGGACCCCGGATCAGGAGACCTGGTTTAGGATCCCTGCTCAGACACGGTTAGCTGCACGTTGACCTTGGTCTCATCACTTAAATTCTCTAAGCCTAACTTTGCTCATCTGTGAAATGAGAGTCATAATAGTGCCCACCTCATAGGGCTGGTGTCGGGATTAAATCGATGTGAAGACGTGTTAAAAACTGTAAATCCCCATGGAATCCATACCATCACTTTCATTTACTGAATGCTTACTATTGGCCAGGCATAGATCAGAATATTTTTATGCGTTATTTCATCTTTACAGTATCCTTGCAGTGTAGCTATGAATAACCCCATTCTACAAAAGAGAAAACCTGGACTGAGAAGCTCTAATTGGCCCAGGTCACACTGACCTACTCTGACAGCTGCCAAATACTGAAGTGAGGCATAATAGTTATCAGAAAAATCCCACTACATCTGCACACGTCAACCAGCCCTCATACCTACTCCTGTCTCCATCCTCCACTCCTGGCTGGAATGTGCTCAATAAACAGTGAGGGTCACATCGGTGTGTAAACTCCCTGGCAACTTTCAGGAAGCACCATTCACAAAAGATACCATCAAGAAAGAAAAACTCACAAGAAAATAGGTGTATATACAAATTGTCCACAGCAAACTTATGTTTGCAAATAACCAGAGGTGAACCCAAGTGTGCAACAATAGGGGAATGGCTCTAATACCACCAAAACCCTCTGAGACCACCTACAGAATAACCAGTTGAGCTACCTGGCCAGGGCTATGCACTGATATTTTAAAAGCACGACTATACTTAAAGATTTCAGAACAGCCTGAGAAATATGGGGCTAAGCACTTGTGGTAAATGAAAATTACAATCTACTCAGCTTTGGAAACTTCTCATTATGGTAGGAAAGGAGGGGAGAAGGGATCAAGCAGGAAACAAGGGACCAGAGGGAGGTGAGACTCTTCCCAGGACCAAAGCCTGGAGCCAGATCTTTAAAAGTCCCCCCACGTACTGCCCTGCTTTAAAAAGACTTAATGAG